GTAGTAGATATGATTAATTTTATTGTGATTTCAGTGAGAATAATGCTGTTAGGATCATTGTTAAGCAATTTTGCTCCAAATTGTTCCAAAGTCTTTGGAGCAATTGCTCCAGACTGTGTGTTGCTTAACAATGATCCTAACAGCATTATAATTGCTCCTAACAGTGCGGAGCAATTTCTTCCCCTTTTTATTTTCCTTCTCCATGCATTCCTTTTTTTTTCCTCATTTCCTATATTTCAATGTAACTAATAAAAAAAAAATGATCCTAACAGCATTATCCTAATTGAAAACACAATAAAATTAATCATATCTACTACTTTTTCAACTTCACAATCTTTTGAACCTACAAAAAAAAAAAAAAAACACTTAANNNTTCACAATATTTTGAACCTACAAAAAAAAAAAAAAACACTTAACAATGATTTGCTAAGTACTATAAATTTTTTTAACAAATACCAAAGACAATGAAAGTAAGGAAAAAAAATATTTTTAATGGCATTGTTTTAATAAAATAAAATTTGAATAGTGCTGTGCGGAGCATTTGCTCCAAACTCTTTGGAGCAATTGCTCCAAACAGTGTGGAGCATTTGCTCCGCAAATTTCAAATGTTATATAAAAAAGAAGTAGAAACTCACCACCTATATGTTAATTTCAGGCTTGTGAACTGAAGAATGAAAATATGATGAGCCCCTGATGATATAAAATCACTCCAACAAAACTTGACCTACAATATTACAGGCAATTTAGAAGCTTCAAAAACGAATAAATTATTTGTTTTTTGAAATCAAAATAACAGATTTACTGAATTTGCATGTAATAAAATAAGAAATAGAAACTTGCCACCTACTAATTAATTTCAGGCTTGTCAACTGAAGAATGAAAAGATGAAGACTGTACTGGATGCATGGAACAAACATGATATTTTATAATTGGTTGATAATCACTGCAATACCTTAGCATGGAAGAACCAAGAAATTTTCCACCGTCAAGTCGATTGATAATCACTGCAATACCTTAGCATGAAAGAAACACGATATTTTATAGTCTTGAAAAGTCAATCTTATAAATGCATGGAACACACATGATATTTTATAGTCGTTTGATAATCACTGCAATACCTTAGCATGGAAGAAACATGATATTTTCCACCGTCTTTCACCGCCTACATTTTTTACTCCAGGCGTTTTGTTTCTTAATGAACAGTAGAGGGTAAAATTGGAAGAGGGAAATACGTCCAGAATGAACAGTAAATGGAGGTTTCCCTCTTTTAATAGAAGCAGGATTAGTAATAATATTATAAAATTAAATTAATCTACATACCCCATCGACCCATTCACCCCAATCCAATTTCACTCATAAACCTTATCTAAGTCGAGCAGAGAGAAAAAATTTGAATCTCACCGCTAATGATCAATTTAAACTTGACGAAGTTGACTTATCTGGAGTAAAAATGAAAATGCTCCATCTGAGGTCAAAAAATCAATTTCAGGTCGTGTTAGAAAGGCTGAAGAGACAACAAGTTGATGAAACTGTAGAAAAATCATTGCATATGAACATACCAGATTGGTCTAAGAATGAAAACAAAAATCACATCGAGATTACGAGGAGAATGCCGGAGAAGATGAAGAGGACTATCGTATTTCGCCTCACAAGTATTTAGTGGGGATGAGAGATACTTCGTACAAAAATCAGCACATGGTTACAGCAGCGGCGACGATGTCGCACGCAGTGGCTCTGATTTTTGTTAGGAATATTGAGTCTAACTCCACCTAATAAAACCGGCTTATTAGGGGAGGATTGCCCTCACCTTATTAAGTGGATCATTTATATTTTCCCAAGCAATGTGGGATTCTAATACGCCCCCTCACACACAGCGAGAATAATTTATATTTTTCCAAACAATGTGAGATTCTAATAATTTTAGATCTTTTACAGTGGTTGTGTAGTGATTTTGTTGATAGTATTTGCAGTTGGTGATGTTGGATGCGGTGGTGATGTTGGATCTAGTTTTGGACTATGTTTGGGATATGGTTCTACTGGGGACGAGGGAAGGGAGAATGAGGATGAAGAGTTGGTGGAGGCGGTGGTGGCACTAGGTCCGATAGTGGTTCCGGCTATGATAGTAACAATAACTCTAGATATCAGAATGGTGGTGGAAGGGGCACTGGAGCTGGAGGTGGGAATGGCATTGGCAATAGCAATACCTTAGGCTATGACAGTGGTTTTGGGGGGAAGAGTGATTGTGATCAATTATTTGGTTGACTGTGATTGATAAATTGGTGAATGTGTGACCGATAAATAATATTTGACCTTAAAAAAGTGAGATACATACTAAATTTGTAATCGTGACTGACGATATGTTGTGACCACTTAATTAACAAATTGAGATAGAAAAAAAACTCGTGATTGTGAAATAAGTTGTGACTTATAAAATTTATGATTTGTGATCGAAAAATAATACGTGACTTATTAATTTGATAAATTTTTATCGATAAATAAATTGTAACTTATAAATTTTATGATTTGTAACCAATGAATATTACGTGACCTATTAATTTGATCAATTGTAATTTATAAAATTTGTAATATGTGATCGAAAACTAATACGTGACCAATTAATTTGATAATTTGTGATTGGAAAACAAGTTATAACCTATAAAATTTGTAATTTGTGACCGTGACATTTATAATTGTGACTAATACATAACTATGACAATAAATTATATAATATTGTGACCTTAATATATTTAGTATATAAATATTTTTAATTAATTATTTAATAAATAAAACTTAATGAAGACCTGATTTTGCAAATAATAAAACCAATTTCTTAATTTTGAAATTGTGTTTTGCAATCAACGTCACGTTTTTGATGTAGAATGCAAAATTTATCTTTATTATTTAAAATCTAAATGAAGCCTTGATTGTCTCTCAAACAAAACTCTTAATATTCATTTTCAAACTCACATTTATACAAACTCACATTTATACAATAAAATATTTTGCATGTAAATCAAAAATTATTTTCTATTTTTTAATTACATATTCTTCAAAAAATTACTATTAAAAACTCAATTTCTTTGAAACAATGACCATCAAACAAGGGCTAAATATTGAACTAAGGGTCCATTTGATTGTAAGAGTGGAAAATGGGTGGAAAGAAAATATTTTATAGGTAAAAGATTTTCCTAAAAAATGTTTTACTGGGAATAATTAAGTGTGTTTGATTGGTATAATTTTCCACCTATTTTTAAAAGTTTGGATTTTTTTGTTCACGTTTGATTTATTTTACATGGAAATTGTCCATTAAAAATGAATTCTTTTTTGCAATTGGTTATGAAATTTGTTAACATTGACAAAAAGTAAAAAAAAAAAAAATTTTTTTTGCTTGAAAACTATTTTTTCATCAAAATTTAGTGTTCGTTTGACTTCGTTTTATATGGAAATTGTCCATTAAAGTGAAATTTTTTTTACAATTAGTTATGAAATTTGTTAATATTGGAAAAAAAAAAAAAAAAAAAAAATTTATGGAAGAACGTGGAAAAGGTGGTGGGAAAACCTTTTCCACAATTTCTAGGAAAATGGCACGTGGGAGAGGGAAAACTTTTTTTTGGCTAAATTTTGCCTATCAAAAAACTCTTTTGCATGGAAAAGGAAAATGTTTTCCATTTTCCATGAAAAAGAGAGGCTATCAAACATAGCCTAATGGATTTTTGGAAGGAAACCATCCAAAGGTTAGGATTGTATTGTAAAAATAAAATTTTTGGAACCATTTGCACTTTTTGGAAAAGTTGGGGACCACAACTGCAATTTTTCCTTTAAATTGTTATGAACTAGTAAAAAATAAAATAAAATTAAAAATACAAGAGCGTATTGACAAATTTCCATTTTACTCCTTCCTCGCCATTTACACCATTTTCCCTACTCGCGAGCTCTCTCTTCTCTCTCTCAGACACACTTCTGTATATCCATCACTCCGAATACAGATGGTGCCCTGAATCTCGGACCAGGGTGGAGGAATTAATTGACAAGGAACTATAAGGGAATCGGCGTGATATTGGAAAACGGGAGTGGATCTGATATAAGATAGAGAAATAAGCAAGATGAGTGCGGATCTGGTGGCTGCAAGCACACATGGAAATCTGGACGAGCAGATTGGTCAGCTCATGCAGTGCAAGCCCTTGTCCGAACCCGAGGTTAGGTTTCTCTCTCTCTCTCTCACTCATGTCACTCACTTTTTATTGTTTAGTTATTTATTTTGGATCTTTGTCTCTTATTTTTCATGGATCTGATTGATTTTGTGGATATAACAATGTAAAGGAACGTGGGATTCTTGTTTGTTATTATTATTATTATTATTTTTCGTCGTCATTTTGTTAATTGATTGTGGAGCTAGGGTTTTCTTTTTCATTTCGTTTTGGTACATTAAGAATTGAGATATATTAAAGCATTTTCATATGGTTCAGGTTTTCCTTATATATTTTTTAAGTATATTTTATCACATTTTGGGTTAAGTAATAGCAAGGTGAAGAAGAAATATGGTCTTTATTTGTAACTCTTCAGGTCCCATTTTGGGGGATAACTAGTAACTAGAGCAAAGTAGGATATGCCATGATTAGCTATCTACATTTTTAGGATCTAGAATGGATGAGTTTAGCCTTACAATTTAAGCATATAAATATTGGTTGATCATCTTTTGAATTTTAATGTAAAACTTTTGATTGATTACTTTGGTTATCATGTTATTGAATTTAAGCATATAAATATTGAGTGAAAATGGTTATTACGGTTGTATTGGTTTCCTTATCGTGTATCTAACTTCAGAAAATGGAAGCCTTGTAAAAGAACAATTTATTAAGAATTACTTTTACTAGCATATGAAGTTACTCTGCTTCCACCTAGTCGTCTTTATGAATTTGACTCTCTCAGCTCAGGACAACTACATTTTTAAAAAAAGGCTATTGTGCTACAAATTGAATCCTAGCCTATTTGATGACTTCATCAGGAAGTACTCGTACGACAAGATGACTCCTACTTATTTGATGAACATATCTTGGAGTTACTTGTACGATTATATGATATGAAGATACATGCAATGCTTATTGGCCCAAGATAAGTGTTGTACCTCTACAGTTCTACTAACTGTCATAAAGGTTCAAACGTCATTAGAAGATCAAATAAAGGCATATTAGAGTTTTTGGTGTAGACAGGTTGTACTAATACGTGGAAGTGTTGTTATTAGAGGTTTTCAAAGCAAAAAATTGTTAACTTGTGGAATGAAATGAAGACCCCGGAGGATCTATCCTGTCCAAGTTGTGGTTCATATTCTGTTTATTATTTCAAACTGGATGATATGGGAGATGTTATTTTATTTATCCTCATCCTAGGTTACGGTCTGTCTACTTTGTACCAAGTACACCTAGCTTCTGGCTAGTGACTCACTGTAATCCATTAATGAAATACGCGTAGCTTTTGGTTAGTGACTCATTGTAATCCATTAACTAAATAGCTTGACAAAACGTCATGGTGATGTAACTCTTCTTATAGAAATGTGACTCTACACGGATAATTGACAATAATTTGCTTGGCAAATTGTCAGGACTCATTCTTCTATAAGGGAAAATAATTCTTGTTTAAATGTATCATCAAAAGCCAATATGACATGTGACTTATGATGCGAACCCACGTAGCAATTGAAGATACGAAACCCACGACAGATTAGAGCAAATCCATAAAAGCCAAGAATAAACGTTTAAAAAACTCGACCAAATAAATTATTGAACCAAATAACCAAGACAATCGTCAATAATATTTTGACCCTGTGATCACAAGACTTATGAATCTTACTTAAATTGTTGAATGCCACAAAAATTTAATTCTTGATAAGTTCGAAATTAATTCAATGGAGAACGAGTTGAAAGCAATATGCATCGCAATAATATCTCTCAAATTATATGTTTTTTACAATGAAAAGGATCATCCTATTTACATGAAATCTCTAAATCTAATTAAAAACGGAATTAAACCTTAAAAGATATAAAAAAAGATACCATAAAAGAGTTTTAACTATAATAGAAGTCTAGGTGAATTTGAAAAAAAGTCCCAAGTTTTGAACTATGCGGCCGCATAGGTGTAGAGCATGCGGTCTCATAGGCCTTTCTTCAGCCTTCAATGTGGTTTCGGTATAGAGGCATGCAACTGCACCCAGGTTTGTGCTATGCGATCACATAGCAGTCCGTCTTGCCTCCAAGTTTGAGTCATTGATTCTGCTCCCATGCCCAACCTATACCTGGTCTTTGACTTATTAACTTCACCCTCTTGGACTCCGTTGCTTGAACAAGTGATTGCATGGCTTCATCGACTCTATTTGATCTCGAATTTTCCCTTAGCCTCTCCTGAACATACATCGAACAATTGATATCTTGTTGCCTTCCTTGGATCCCATCATTCCCTTTCTCTTTGGAATGATTCCATTTTGAATCTGTACCTGCATCAAAGAGAGCAAGATAAGGAATAACGAAAATGCAAATTATCACAAACTTACCTTGAAGATCCAAATTGTAGTCATTGTTGTCAATCCTTGCAATGACCTGGAATGATCTATTAGAGAATGAAACCAATCACCTTCTTTGCATTCAAACAAGCCATTTTTGCCTAAGCACCCAATCACTTGATTCGAATACTTTACGTCTCTTCCTTTTCCTACCTTGAGATTCATATAATATAAATCACTGCTTTCTATCTAAAATATCACTTACAATAATAGTTAAATGAATTAAACCAAACAAAGTTAACGGATTTAAGCCATAAATCATACCAAAATGTGTAGTAGAGGATACTAAATTGGTTTCCAACATATTCCATAAATTCGAACCAATATAGTTAAGAACTTCAATATTGAAATATAGATCCTCATGCCTCAAATCACCAACAATGCACCCCCAATTGTCTATCATGCTCAATTAGTTTCTTACAACATACTATAATATCATTAACTAGTAATTGATTTCATATGAATGCATGTGAAAAATGACTTATTACTCATAGAATTATTAGATGAATTAATGTGTAAAAGTACATGTCACATGTGAAAAATAAGTACTACATGCTAGATCATCATCTAACCTATGCATGAGGTATTGATTCTTTACGATGCCATAGTTGAATGCTTATCCTTCAATGCTCATCAAATTCTTCGCTTGCATCGAATCAATTGGATACTCAATAGGTGGTATAACTCTCAATAAGTTTTCGCGGAATAAGTATTTGAATTCTTGCAATAAAGAAATATACAAACAGGGAAGGGGTTTGTTAGTTCTCCCTAAAGCCCTTTCAATCTCACTATTTTTTGCATAGACATTTAGGCCGTGTTTGATAGGCCATATTTTCCGGGGAAGTAGGAAAATATTTTCCACTTTCCACTTTTGTGGCTGTTTGATAGCCGAAATTTTCCATGGAAAATATTTTCTGGATTTTCCTCACACGTGTGCAATTTCCGAGTTTTTGATGAAAATGTTTTNGAATCAAATTTTTTTCTCTTTTTTTTTACTTTTTGGCAATGGATACAAATTTAATAACCAATTGTGGAAAAAATCACGTTAATGGACAAGTTACATGTAAAATAAATCCAAACGAATAGAAAATTTAAAAATTTTCCGGGTGAAAAATTATACCAATCAAACACACTTGAAATCATTTTCTCTGCAAAGCATTTTCTAGGCAAATCTTTCCCCTGTAAAACATTTTCTTTCCACCCATTTTCCACCATTGCAATCAAACGCACCCTTACTTTTGTTTTTTCCCTCCTCTCAATACTCTCTCTTTCTTCTCTCTTGTGGCTATGTTTTTTTCTTACAATTAGTCACCTCACTATCTTCTCTCCTACCTTTTTTTTGCCTTTCTTTGTTTTTCTTTTCTTCCTTACCTCTAAATCTCAATTGGTCCTCATAGACCTCTTGTGGTGTTAATGGTACAAGCTTAATAACTCTCCTATTTTTTACAAAGTTGTACCCATTCTTGATTCCATCATCTTTCACCTTCCTATCATACTACCATGACATTCCCAACAAAATACGCACAACATGCATAGGAACTACATCACTATATCTCCCAATTGAGAAATTCACCAAAACTTGCCTATATACCCTAACCTCTCCACATGCATCTAGTCATTGCAATTTACAAGGTTTAAGATGTTTTATCGTAATCAATCCTAATTTACCAACAAGTGTAGCAATATTAGTACAACTACCCCCTTAATAATCAAACTACATACCTTACTTTTGATATAACATCTAATATGAAAGATGTTCTCTCGTTGCTTCTCTACATTATCTAATTTAATTTGTGTATTGAGAGCACGCATCACCATAAGTAACTCACCTCCTAACAGGTACTCTATTCCATCACTATTACTAGCATCCTCTAACACGGGCATATCATCACCATCACTTCTTCATTTTGTTTGGACATTGTGAAGTAATGTGTCTCGATCTTAAACACTTAAAGCATTTGATATCCCGATTCTTAGAAGGTTGAGAATCCGTTTTGAGTGTAATTTAAACTTTGAACTTTGAATGGAAACGTCAAGAATAAATTCAAGAAAGTGTTTCTTGAATTCGGACTTTCACTTTTTTTTTTTGTAAATTTTGATTTTTTTTTTACTAAATGCGCGAGGATTCAACAAAGAACCTAAAAAATTGAAGAGAAATTGATTTGGGCATTAATTTAGCACACAAACAACTTTTTGAATTTTTTTGGTATTTTAATTAGATTGAATGACTCAAAAGTTGAAGAGCATGAAGAACGAGGATGAAGACTTAAAAAAAAAGGAATTAAATGATATAATCTTGAATTTTTGGAGTCAAGTTCTCATACCAACTGATGCGAACCTACATAGTAATTGAAGCTATGAAACCTGATAGATTAGATCAAACCTAAGAAAGCCAAGAGTCAACGTTTGAAAAGCTCGACTCAAAAGATGAAGAACACGAAGAATGAGGATGAAGACCCAAAAAAAAAAAAAAAGATCAATAAGGAATTAAATGATATAATCTTGATTTTTGGAGTCAAACTCTGTATTAACTGATGCAAACCCCATAGCAATTGAAGCTACGACACCTACGACAGATTAAATCAAACTTAAGAAAGTCAAGAATCAACGTTAAAAAATCCCAATCTAATAAATTATTGAACCAAATAACTAAGACAATCGTCAACAATATCTTGACCCCGTAATCACAAAACTTATGAACCTTACTTAAATTGTTGGAACGCTATAAGAATTTAATTCTTGATAAGTTTGGAATTAATTCAATGAAGAACGAGATGAAAGCAATATGTCTCGCAATAATATCTCTCAAATTGTGTATTTTTTACAATGAAAAGCAGTGTTTTGAAAACCGGTCATCGACCTGGAAAATGTGAAGGGTCAAAAGGTTCAACCGGAGTCGAACCGGGATCGAACCAGATGCAATAAATAAATACAAAAATAATAAAATATTATGAAAACAATAGTTTTTTTAAATTTTCGTATTAATAATTCAAAGTAAATCTATCTTTGTTAATTAGATTCATTATCCTATAGTTAGCCTCGATACTTCAAAAATTAATTATATATCAATAATTGTAATTTTTTTGAAGCCCATTCAAGAAGTTAAAATTTTTTAAACTAAAAAAAAAAAAAAATTGGGAAAATTGCGACCGGTTTACGGTTGAACCGGCCGGTTCAGTGGGTTTTGAGCAGTTTTGTCATAATCAGTTAACATGGCATGATTTGGCCCAATTTCGGGTCCGGTTCCCGATTTTATCGGTCGAACCGGTCGGGCCGATTTTGACAACATTAATGAAAATGATAATTCTATTTATATGAAATTTCTAAAACCTAATTAAAAACAGAATTAAGCCTTAAAAGATATCAAAAAGATACCATAAAAGAATTTTAACTGCAATATAAGTCTAGGTGAAATTTGAAAAAACGGGTCCCAGTTTTGCACTATGTGGTCGCAAAGGTGCAGAGCATGCAGTTGATAGGCTTTTTTCAGCCTTCAGTGTGGTTTCGATATGGAGGCATGCTACCGCACCCAGGTTTGTGCTATGCAGTAGCATAGCCATCCATCTTGCCTCTTAAGTTTGAGTCCTTGATTCCATTGCATTCCAACTTGTTTTCGCTCTCAGGCCCAATATAGAACTTGGTCTTTGGCTTGTTAACTTCACCCTTTTGTACTTTGTAGCTTGAACAAGTGATTGCATGCATGGCTTCATTGATTCTATTTGATCTCGAACTTGCCCTTAGCCTCTCTTCAACATACATCGAACCATTGATAGCTTGTTGCCTTCCTTAGATCCCATCAACTTACTTATAAGTTATAGCAAATCGGCTGATCATGTAGACCGGTTTCCTTGTTTCCCTGGAATTCGACTTATGCTTTATTATATTTTCAATTGAAAAATGTAACGGATTGAGAATATTCGTTATTTTATTTGCAGGTAAGGAGCTTATGTGAGAAAGCTAAGGAGATATTAATGGAGGAAAGTAATGTCCAGGTATGAATTTCTATTTACTGTTTACTGCTATTTTGGTTGCGCATTAAATTTTTTTACCTGTCCTGAACAAAATAAATGCTCTACTGGAATGTTGTATATGTTATGTGAAGGCCTGGTGGTTGCAGACTCGAAGCTAATATTTAGAACCTATGAGTTATTGAAAATTTAAATCTATTTGAATATTTCAATATTAAATGATTAGTTTGTAATGAAAAGTATGGCTGTTGAAACGAACTTTTTCTGCCAATTTGTCCATGGATATATGAGGGTTATGGATTATTATGAGGAGAACAGATTAGGTCTATTGAAATGTGATACACAAAATTGCTCTAGGTGACTTGCATATAAATTAGAAACATACCTTTTGGCAATAGGAATTTAAAAATTAATAGATTTCACCTGTTTGGGTCCTTTATAAGTTCATGATAGTAATTTATTTATTTTTATTTTTTGGGTGGGAAAAGTAAGGGAAAAATGTCAACAAAAGCACATTACAGCTTAGTAGATTTTTTCAAGGCATTGTTTTTGTTTTGGATTTTTCAGTGTTGCTTTAACTTTTAGATACCTTTTACTCGTCTTTAAGCATAAAATTTTACTTGACAATTAGATTAGTTTTGGTCTCAACTCCCAGGGTATAAATTTTTTTAATAAGCCATACCTATATAGATCAGTAATTGCTGCCTTAAACATATGCTTGCTCAAAATCGTTTCTTATCTGCTCCACTTGAAATATTTTGCTCATTTGGCTTTTCCATGTAATATTATTATTAATTATCCCATCATGCTTAAATGTTTAACTTGTAGCATGACATGCAGTAAAGATGGTCTATTTAAGAATTTTAAATTTTTTTTGTCATTAGTTTTCACTTGTTGTATTGCTGTTTGTTTCTAATACAAATCAAAATTTGTTGTGTGCAAGAGAAGCTAGATTGATTTTCTGTTATTGTGGTGCAGCCTGTAAAAAGCCCTGTGACAATTTGCGGTGATATTCATGGCCAATTTCATGATTTAGCTGAACTTTTCCGCATTGGAGGGAAGGTAATGTACTTGCCTTTGGTATTCATATGCTTGTATTCTTTTTGGTTTGAGCTAGGGGAAGTTTATATTTGAGACTGATAAACGGGGTTGAGGATGTAGGTTGCCTTATGATACGATAACAGTTTGAATTCTAACCAGCATTTCTTGGTGTCATCAATTTTTTAACATTTTTCTTTAAAAATGGAAAAGTTACTTCCATGTATACCACATATTTCCTCTTTGTTGATATTCTATTTATTCTAGTTTTATTTATATACAAAGCATAACACATTTAACTGCACAGAAAGATTCTTTATGTCTGGTCTATTTCACTATTTCTTAATTCTTTTCATAGGTTTCAAATTGAAGATACAGACAAGAAACAATATAACCAGAACATGGGTAACCTATTTTTGAAAAAAATAATATTATTGATCTGAACAGAAAATGTCAAGTCTTGTTTTAAGAAAAAAAAAAAAGCATGATATGAGCAATTACATGGTGCTCCATCTTTGTCTTCCGGACATCTTTTCTTCCTCCTATTATCTAATATAATATCCTTCCATCATTTTTCTGGAATTTTTCTCTTGCTGTGTCTCTTTTATTTACCCCCAATTGAATCATTAGCGCCTTCTAAATTTTTAGCAGATCATAGTGGATTAAAATTGTTTCCATATTATCCTTGCCAACCTATGTTTAACCAGTGGACCAAGTGCACGCAAGGCATAGTAAGACTTCTTTTTGCTTAATCTTGCCCATGAATTGCAGTAATGAGTTGCAACTGTTGGTTGGAAGAGAAGAAATATTCTTGAAATGGCAGCATGCGTATGTTGCTTAATCATAGTGAAATTGATCATTAGAGATTCATCTTGTTGCATCCGTACCAGGCTGGTTAATTTTTCATTTGCTAACTTGGATGCTTCATTTGAATCCATACCAGGCATGTCCACATTATCTTTCACCACTGGGTTCATGGGCATGGTTTTTCCTTTGAGAATCTGATTCACCAAATCGTAAATGCTGTCAATCTTGTCTCTCTTTTCAAACTTAGCTAGCTTTGTAGTAAATTGGTAATTAGAAGTGCCGATATGAATCTGATCACTCATCTTTAGTATTCTAATATATTTGTTTCTTGGTGACAGTGTCCGGATACAAATTATCTATTTATGGGAGATTATGTAGATCGTGGGTACTATTCTGTTGAAACTGTTACTGTAAGTACAAGCTAAATAATGTTTTCATTTACTATAGCAAAACTTTGCTTCTGTATTTGGGTCACAATGATAAAATAGCCGCCTTCCTTCCCTTTATGTCTTCTCAGTTTTTTTCTTTAGTTGGTGGGCGTTTTGAGTTTTGAAGCAGTCCTGATGTGTGTATCTGAGATCCATTTGATTATAGTAGAGATTGTCCAGTATGCTTTATACAATTTGTTTCAGAGAGTGTTCAATCAGTGGTAGATGCTAATATGCTAATTTCACGCAGCTTTTAGTGGCTCTGAAAGTGCGCTATCCTCAACGGATAACAATTCTTAGAGGAAATCATGAAAGTAGACAGGTATTATTTAATTTTCTATGATCTCTTTCTGTCTCTTCCACTATTTTGATATCACAGGTATAAAAAGCTTATTATTGCTGAATAAATTGAGTTGTTGAAATTAGGCCTTTTGTGCTTTCATCTACCAAAGCAAGCAATCTGTGGTTTCGTTTGCTTAGAGTTGATCTCAAGGCATGCATAGCTTGTGCTATTTGGCAGTGTGATAGAACTGATACCTGCATAATACGTGTTGAGTTTCTTGACAATGTTTTTACCAAGTGTGTTAACGTGGCTAAATTAGTTGCAACCTGTTTAGTGTTCTTTGAATTTAGATTTTGCTGAGTTGACTGCCCTGACTTATTTTCATGAAATTTTATGTGTCAACTGATTTTAGTTGAAGTTAGTGTTATTTACTCAGATATAAGTGGTCTGACCTTTTTTGTTTCATTCTCTTGTTTATTTTCATTACATCTGTTATTAGGTGGATCTTTATAATGCGATGACAAATTTTTGTTCTTTGTCTTAACTAAATATAGTACGTACTTTCATTCAACCGAGTATAATTTTCTGTGGTTAATGCTGGACCAAATCTTTGTTCTTGTACACAGATTACACAAGTCTATGGATTTTATGATGAATGCCTGCGGAAGTGAGTTCATTATTTCCCCCTTAATTTGCCTGAAGAAGTGATTATCAATTTATCATTTACTTGTATTCTCATACCCCCATCATATCTGGTTAATTAAATAATTGGTTTGAGAAGATTGTTATAATTTGCATCAAATTAAAGATTGACATGTTTTAAATCTCAACAATATTCGGGGTTGAGGTTGTCAGATGATGTTGGCATCCAATTTCGTTAACTGTTTTTATACAGCTAAATTGAATAATTACCAATTACAGAACAAGTAAATTGAGCACTCAGTTAGTTTTATCGATAAAGGAAGAGTCGTAGAGGGAATGCCTAGTGTCGGGTTCACTTTTAGATAAGTTGTCATTTCTTGTGCACTCTTATTGAATTAGACATGCCTGGGAACAAGATAACTCACAGCTTCTGCAAGCCAAAGTGGGTCTGAGTTTGTGAGACTGTCACTGTTGGGAATACACAATATCAAGATCTTGATAGCATGTCATTTACATATTATTTTATATGTTTATAAACGTATTGGAATAGTTCATGAAATAAGAAATATAATTGTGTTTCTATACATTGACAAAATGATGGCGGAATGTGTAAAAACTACGGAGTGCTAGAAGGATTGTACAAATGCACGAGATAGATTAATGGACAAAGCTTTAGGATGTGGACTTGATTCATGGGCACATATCCTTATAGTTGCTTGTGTGATTTTAAATGACTCGGAGGACGAAAAACCGGATCTTTTCTAGAGCGTGAGTTTTACTACAAAGTTGAAGAATTATAATCCAGTTACCAATCAGTGTCACTTGAATGCTGAATTCAGCACTCTAAATCCATATAATATGTGACATAGGATCAAGTATTCAAAATGCTATTGAATTCCGTTATCTGCTTTTATATGACTTGGGACACGAGTATCCTAAGTACTAATGTAATTCATAATGTCCTTTTATTATCACATACAGCTAGTTAGATCTATTTACCTGGAATTTTGCATCTCTTTTTCGTTTGTGTATTATTGTTAATAAACTCTCCTTTTGGTTGTAGGTATGGAAATGCTAATGTTTGGAAGACATTCACAGATCTGTTTGACTATTTCCCACTGACTGCACTGGTTAGTAGAACTCTTCCCCAATATCATCATCCCACTTTGTTATGATGCCATTGTTTTGGAAAGTTTCTTTCCCTGTACCCTTGATGACTTGGGCAAAAAATCTATCTTGGAATATTCCCTTCAGCCAAGCACAGCATATAGAAATGAGAAAGAAAAGTAGTTAAAGTAATCAAATTGTCTTAGGTGTAAAATATGCAATTGACTAAATTAATTGTGTATGGAATAACTTGAAATATTAAACTTGTACTGTTCTAAAGAAATTCCCAAGTTACCCACTGTCCAGAAATTCGGTGGATTTACTCCAGATGTGTGCACACAAAAACTGCAAGGGAGCAACAAAAACCGGTGTATGAGATTCGTATGTTGCTTTATCATGTATGTATGCATTTCTTGTGTTTCTGTAAAGATTTTGAATTTTAGATTCCGTGCTTATTTTCTTTTAATGCTTCTTAACTTGGTAATTAATTTGCATGAGCTGATCTTTTGAGTTGGTGGGATAAACTTCATGTCAGCATTTGAATCATTGTGAAATTAGATGTAAAAGATTAAGCCCCTGTATGGTTTTACTAAAAATTAGAATTTTAGTAGATTTTGATAAAAGTTGATGAAATATGTGGCTGAAAAGTTGATAAAAGTTGTTTTTTCATAAAATGTGAGGTTAGAATTAATTGTTGATTTTGACTTAGATTTTTATCAACCTTTTTAGCTAAACCAAACATGGGCTAAGTTTACTGGCATATTAGTTGTTTATAATGACTGGCAGTCGATTGACATTGACTGACTCTCAATTGTTGGATGTAAAGGGTTTGTAAATGATGTGTGACCTGTATGTCTAACATTCCTCTGGGTCAAATATATGAGAAGGATATTCTTGTTAGAACTAATTTCATTCCTTTATCTTAATTTCTTTTCGATCTAAAGGCACCAGCCTTTATATTTGCTATACATAGATGCCAGTTTCTTTTCCAAAAATCATATTGATTGAATATTAGGTTATCGAGCTTGTAAGTTGATTCTAATGTACTGATCTTTATGTAGGTTGAATCAGAAATATTTTGTCTGCATGGTGGATTGTCCCCTTCTATTGAAACCCTTGATAATATAAGAAACTTTGATCGTGTTCAAGAAGTTCCACATGAAGGTCCAATGTGTGATCTATTGTGGTCTGATCCAGATGATCGTTGTGGTTGGGGCATCTCCCCTCGTGGTGCTGGATACACTTTTGGCCAGGTACTGTCATCTATTTATTGAGGGTTTACTTCTTTCCCATTTCTTCTTTCACCTGATTAATTCCATTACCATATTATAGGACATTTCGGAGCAATTCAATCATACCAACAACTTAAAGCTAATTGCTAGAGCTCATCAGCTTGTTATGGAGGGATATAACTGGGCCCATGTAATTATTACGTTCCGTAACACTGTAGACCATGTATTAGTTCGGTTACTGTTATTAGAAGTGGCTATCCATAATTGGTTTGACCTTTTACCACAGGAACAAAAGGTCGTAACTATTTTTAGTGCACCAAATTATTGCTATCGCTGTGGAAATATGGCATCTATTTTGGAAGTTGATGACTGCAGAGAGCACACATTTATCCAGGTTCCTTTCTCTGTGTTTGTGTGGGGGACCGTGTTAGTGTGCGTTGCCTGTCATTTATTCGTTTTATTTCTAATCATTTTCGTGTAGTGCTGGGATTTTCCAAGAATGAGGGACGTAATGAATAAGTATTGGTGCATTTTAATTTTTTCTGTTGCAGTTTGAGCCAGCTCCACGAAGAGGGGAACCTGATATAACTCGAAGAACACCTGATTATTTCTTATAGAGCTGATAGCTACTGACTTGATGGTCGCATGGTGATTAATTGGAGTTGATTACATGTCCTTCGCTGAGAGTGAAGCTTCTCAATTTACTAGGCCCTTTAGACAGTGGAAAGAGGCATGTAAAATGCTAGGTAAAGTTTGCCGGTCCGAATTATATTCTATGTTAGGGTGGTCCTTGGAAGTTGGTGTTAGTGATGCTACATTGTATCATTTCAAATATTTTTTCATGTTATGTTATCCTTTTTCTTTTAGTATTTTTTTTAAATTTTTTTTTGGGTTCTTAATTTTCTTCTTAATTACTGCAAATGGTTGGAGAAAGGTGTTCCTGTAGAAGTAATGAAGAGTTCCATTCAGTCGTTTGCTTTAAATCTCTCTTGTCAAGCTTGACTGAATCGTACTGCGATCTTTCTCATCTCTGTACAATATTTTGTTTACTGTCTTTGCTTGACAATTGACTATTCGTGCTTGCCAAGAAATGCATCGTTAATATATATTTGCACTAAAAATTTACCGTCTTGTTCATTTGTATTGGAAACTATTCCTATGTGTATTATGGTATTGTAAAGACATACATTACTTTAGGCACAGAAGTTGCTGGTAAATTGTAAGTTAGACTAGTGGAATGACATTGATCAGATGGCTCAGAGCATTATCGTCTTAAAGTTCTTTTAAGCTCACTCCATTCGATACATCCACCCTCTCTCGTCTCTTAGCTAAAATAATGTTGGAAAAGTGGATACCAGATTTTGACCAGTAGCTTCAAGCTTTTGGGCTCATCGCGATCATCAATATTTGGAATCACGTATTACACTTCGGATATTCAATATCCGAAATGAAACCTTTAGGTTTCATGTAATTACTGGAAGCAAAATCGAACGGATCGGTTCAATTCTACTTATAATATTTATGTTTAAACATCAAGAGTTAACATTCGAATTAATGTTTCAATATCTAGTAGAAATAGAAGAAATGAAATAAATTATCAATTACATATTTCAATATTTTCTTAATACCAAATTACATTCAATATGTATAATAGAATTCAATTTTGATTGTGGCTCAATGTGACACATCTCAAGAAGGATTTATTGGATGGACAGCGCGTCAGAGTGATATGTTTCAATTATTTAAAAGAATAAATCTATTTATTTGCGTACTTACTACTTAGGTCTTGCAAACTTGCTATTTGTTTGGTCGAGTCACTGGTTAGGATGAATAAATTGTAAAATTCTAAAGTTGAGTACTTGCTGTTTTGAAATACAAGTGTAGACAAAAAATAAATTAATTAATGGATAGGGTCGATTTAAATTATTAGCCCCAGTTTTTTAAAGTCTACTGAGGCCATAAAAATTCAAGAACCCACCCTACATTTTCAAAATCCACAATTATTCAATTATTCTTTTTAATTAAAGATAATTGGGTGGTTACCAAATTTGTTACGAATTTTCCCTATAAATAAGAACAAATGTCCATAAAATTTCAGATGTAAAAGTGTAGAAGAAAATCATAAAGTGATGAACAAATCCCAAAGTCGGAGGAGGAAAAGAAATCCTCTAAAGCTTATGTTCGACGAACACCAAGAAGATCAAAATCTTTTTCAAATCAAGTCAAGTCCAAGAAAATCAAAGTCTTCTTCAAATTAAATCAAATTCAAGTCTAAGTCCCTAAATGAAAATCGAAGCCTCGAAATCCAAGTGCAGAACAATGCTAAATTTCTCAACAAATTTTGGAAGTTCAGAATTCAAGCCACGTGACGCCTCGTCTTCAAACATTCAGATCATTAATCAGAGGATCTTGTAGTTTTGCAGTTACAAGAAGATTACCATCTATTTGTATTTATCAAAAATACAATTTATAACGATTTCAGTATTTTAATACACGAAATTCTTTGTACAAATTTCTTGGCATACTCGGTGGGACCTTATTATCCTCTCATCTTTTGATTTCAGAATCTTCAAGTTCCAATCACTGCATCAACAATGGCAAAAAAAAGGCAAAGAAAACTATGAATTATCTTAAAGAGACACTTGTTGAACTCTTCCATGTGACCAGAGCCCAAACAAAAATTGGAAAAACTTAACTGGATCCACCACGGAGGAAATTCTGCAACGAAGACAATGAAAATTGCTTGCAAGAAGCTAAACTCTTGTTCGATAGAAAAGACCAGGAGTTCAAAGAAAAGCTCTTACTTTGGTTCCATCTCCAATTGCAGATTCATATTTGGATCCTCTCATGCCACTTCTCCATGAAGACGAGGAGACTATACTTCATCTGAAGAATCACTGGAGCCAATAATGGTCACGTAAGCGATATCGGGCTCTGATTATCGAATCCAACAAATGGCTATAGTCATTGAAAAGTTAACAAAGTCACTAGACGAAAAGATGCACATGTTGTTAAACTCATGCACGGGTTGGAGTTGCAAAATCCGTTGGCTGAAGGCAATCAAGAAAATGTAGGATCTTCCAAAGCTAAAGATCTAGAAGCCCAATAACGCCATTAGAAGAAAGATATACGTGTGCTCGAAATGTTGCATGACACAACTAAACTCTTTGTCGGCTCTAGGGTTGGACAAAACTCTCGAACAGAACCGAACTGGACTAAACTGAACCGAGCGATTCTTCATAAGTTAAATACCCGAATGGGTATTTGAATCGAGAACCGATGGGTTTGATTCGATTATCGGTTCTAGACCAAGACCTAAAGAATCGAATAAGAATCAAATATAAATAATTTTTTTAATTTTTTATATTGAATTAATTAAATTATTTTAATTTTTTCTAAACAGATTAACTAATTAACTGATTTAGTGATTAATGCTTCAACTCCCAAGCCAAGTCCATGCCTAGCTAGCCTAGTCGAACCTAATTTCTAAATTCATTTTTTGGTTTTAATTTTTTGGCACAATTATTAATTTCATTGTCAGCCAAAGATCTATGCTTTTTAAAGTTTTTATCATTTCCTTTCCAATTTCACACTTTCATTCATTATTTTTGATCATCTCTTTCCCGATTGATGAAATTTAAATGTTGTATTGAAAGAGGAAAGATTGTATGCAAAAAAACTTTCTGTTTTAGATGTTCCTACTAGATAAAATTCAACATTCTTAATGTTAGATAGTGCATTTAATTTCTAAAAGCTACGAATGAACATGTCATTAGTTGTATTTATGTAGTGTTGTTGTAAATGTTTAAAAAATGAATTATGGTACGGAACTGAACCGAACGGTTCCATAATTATATTTGGACCCGACAGTTCCATTTATAAAATACTCAAAAATTTTGGTTCGGTTCTGAAGAGAATTGAGCCGAACTAGACCATGTCCAGCCCTAGTTGGCTCTCTATTCGTCCAACAAATTCAACATATGATTGCGAACACCATTTGTTGGTGGTTAACTACAATTTTCATTGGTTTATGCCAAGCCCTATAGTCGTCGAATTATCATTTGAAAGGTATACAGACTTATCGACTGAGTTAGCTGATAGTTGGGATCAACTCGAGCGAAAATTTCTAATACGCTTCTACAACATCAGGCGAACTGTTAGCCTTCCAGAAATTGTTGAAATGAAGCAGAGCAATGAAGAGCTGTTGTAGAGTATATCGAACGCTGGAGGAGCCTCGTGCATAACTGCAAAGAATGAATCCACGAAGCGTCTTCCATTGACATGTGTGTACAAGGTATACATTAGGGATTACTCTTTAATCTCTAAGTGAATATGTCACACTAATTTGAAGAGTTGGCAATACGTGCTCATGACCTGGAGCACCAAATTGCAAGACATGGAAGTTACTTTCTAAGTGATCCACATGACAAGAAAGATCCTAAGAAAGAAATAAAGAAAGACAAGGCAAGTCCAAAAGGCTATGATAATCTCTATTATCCCTGCAAAGATAGTCTTCCAAGGGTCAAGCTCAAATTTTTAAACTGAAGCCCGAGTTCGGACCTAACAAAGGACAAGTTCAAAGTAGAGGTCACATGACTCTACAAGAACTTGAGGAGAAGGAGTTTCCTTTTTCAGATTCTGAAATTTCTAGAATTCTGGATCAATTTCTTGAACATAAGATAATCGAGCTTCGAGCACCAAAGAGACCGAACGAAGCTAGTAAGATCGATCATCCTAAATATTATAAATTTCATAGAATCATCAGTCACCCAGTGGACAATTGTTTTGTCCTAAAAGATCTTATTGTCCGGTTGGATAAAAAAAATAAAATCAAACTTAAAACTGGAGAATATCCAACAATTGCCTGGTTGATGGTTTCATTTGGATCATTTGATCCAATTTCCATTGCAAAGAAAGACCATATATTTTCTCTTACATACGATACTAATAAGTCCTCGGTTGAGGAGTTTGGACCTCAACTTCCAAAAAGAGCAATCTCGATAGAGTTTGAGGTAGACGGAGAAATTACCATTAATTATGTCTATTCAGGGATGTGTGGACCATGTGCACCCAGCCATCCAACCTTTTACAAAATTATGACAAATGACTTAGACGTTTGGGAGTTTGATTCAAAGTTCGAAAACGAGATCGGTGATGGTTGGTCGACCATAATAGGTAAGAAAGAGAAATATTGAATGTCAGACAAAACATGTAAAATATCACCTTTTATGCCTCTTCCAGGACAAAAATTGGGGGCATTGTGTACGAAAGTTTAACCCAATAAAGAAGTAGCACTAGAAGAAAATCAAGGGGCAGGGACCTTGGTGAAAATACGTTATTGAAAGGTTCCACAATTCCAAAGTTCTAGTGTTTATGACGAGAAATCAAGACCAAGAAACAACCAAAGGAAAATGTCTAAAGTCAAGTCAAGAGTATCTACTAAATCAACGAAAGTAGAAACTGCTTCATGCGCCCCTTCTGGACTACCAATCCTAGGTGATTATGTTTCCAAGAGTTTCTTTGACAAGGAATGTTTTACCTCCAATGTTATCAATGTAGAGGAATGTATCGGGAGAGAGTTCAAAGTAGAAGAAAACTATCTCATGACTCAAAAATA